CATACAATCTCCCTTTTTCATGTCGCATGGACAAAGGAGTGCTCTCAGGAAGTTAGCCACTGCTACTGGGCAGCTCAGAGAAAAACACGCAAGCACTTGAGCAGGTTGTAGCAGAGGAGAAAGTTCCCTGAATCAACTTCGGAAATGGGGGGGACCCTTCAAAACCCCCACCTCTCCCAGGGTATGTGAGTGTGTAGGGAGGGAAAGAGACCTTTCAAAGTTGTAGCTAGGAAGAGTGGACACACAGCGAGCTAGTGCCTTCCTCCACAGAGGAAGGGAATGGTGCGAGGGTGCCAGGAACGCTGGGGAGGGGATGTGGAGCTGGGGTTCTGTTGCTGCCTGGCGTGGGAAACCTGACGCAGGTAGGGACCAGAGGAAAGGAAAGGGGGCCATGCCTGTCAGCCTGGGCTCTCCTGCAAGTGTGAGTCACTGGCCAGAGAAATGTCTCCTCCCTTTAGTCCTGAACGCTGGGCAGAGAGTCGCTAGTTTGTGTGTAAATTCTAGCAGGAAGGCTGGTAAATTCAATCTCAACTTGAGCAGTCAAGTTCTTCTCCAATATCTGGTTTTGCTATACTTCCAAATAAAGCCCTGTATCGCACAAAATATGGCCTCTGCCTGGGCTTCAGGCAGAGCCAATAGGACACACTCTCATTGTCTCTCCAGCTAGCTGCAGACTAACTACCCTGAATAACCTTCTGCTGACAGCTTAAAGTAAAGCATCATGGGAAACAGAGACCACATGGTCCTCATTAATCCATTAAAGGAGAGGTATGAAGAAATGGGGGCCTTTTTTGGTCAAGGGAAAAAAAAAAAACTGTGTATTGTGTGTTAGGAATGCTTCCAACACAGACTTTCAAGAAGTAGATACCTGTCATGTAGAAACCCACTGGACTGGAAAGCTGTGGACTTACAGATTAGAAGAACAAATATTTAGTGAACACCTACTACAAGCAGGGTACTGTCCTAGGCCAACTCGGTGAGCTCTCAGGTGTGGAGTCCCAATCACAGAACAGGTATCTTCAGTAAAATTACATGGTCAGCCAAGGACACCGGCAAGGTGCTTGGTACAGAGATACTATGTCACTCAGGGAAGATATGAGCCCCTCGACAGGCTGGATGGTCAGGGAAGGCTTCACAGAACAGGGGCACTTGACATAGTCCTGAAGGCAGAATGGCATTTTTCTAGACCTGCAGTCCCTAAATCACTTGGGGAACACTTAAAAAAAAGGAGAGTCCTGAACCCAATATTGGACCAATTGAGTCATAAGTCCTAGGAATGTTACCCTGGAATCACTACTCTTTTTAAACAATTATCATTATAGTGGCAAACTTGAAACCTATATAAAAGTAGAAGTGCGAGCCCATACACGCCCATCACCCAGTATTGGCAATCCTCAGCTCTTTTCTAGCCTATGTCCTTACCTAGTCCTTCTTCCCCAGTATTATGGATTCTACATTTTTTTTTAAACCAGGAACTCTGAGGCAGCCAGACCATGAATGTGAATTGGGGGCTAGTCACTGATCAAGACACAGATTAGAACCAAGGGAAACCCCAGGACGGTGGGAACACAAAATCTATGAAAGAGAATGGTATCTGGGGGAGACTGGCAGATAACCTGGAGCACCTAGTTGGCTAGGTGCATGGTTGGGGGGGATCATGAAAGGGTTACTGCAGGTCACCGAGGCCCTGTTAGCACATGTTATGTCTGTTAGAAACACAAAAACACATCTCCTCTGGGTAGAAAAAGCACCCTCTCTCCCGCAGAGGCCAGCCACAGCAGCAGAGAGGGTCCCACCGTTTCCTCATTGCCTGTGCTCTTCACTCCTGGGCCGGAACCACAGAGCTATGCACCGTAGCCGTGGGACCAGGGTGTGAGGGAGTGCAAAAGGCCAGGGAAGGCGGCAGTGCTTTACCTTATAGGGGTTGTAGGATGCGAAGAAGGGGAACATGCACCAATCAGGCTGTGCTTTGAAAGGCTACTGGGCACCAATAGAGGGGAGATGGATAGACAAAAGGGCAGAAAACCAAGAAGCGATGAGTGAAATCTATAAGTGATGGCAAACTAATCAGGGAAGAAGGAAAAAGGTTTTGAAAGTCAAGTCTTGATAAAGACGTTTGTGAGAAAGATCTTGTCTGGGGTTCTAGAGGTCACTGGGGGTTGGATATAGTGATGCAGGGACCATTGGCACATAGGAGTCATTTGAAGGCATGCCAGTGTTGAAACTGCTCAGGGAGAGTATTCGGGGCATAATAAATAAGCAAAGTCAGAGGAAGGCCCTGGGAAAAACCAGCATTTAGAGAAGAGGGGTTGGAGGGAAGAGGAGCCAGGCCAGGTGATAAGAGAGAATGAGGAGAAGCAAGAACTGGTCAGGGCAGCGGGAAGGAGATGGGGAGAGAGAGGAGGTATGGCTCATGGAAGTCAACGGAGCAAAAGTGTCCACAGGTGTAGTGAGAGGGATGCATTCATTTAGGAAAGTGGAAAGAAGAAAACTAGAAATCTAAGGAAAATTCAAGTCCTGTAGTATCTGGAATGATAAGCTGAAGAGTTTGGACTTTAAAGGCAGGGTGACGAGTGTCATGGTGTACTGTACAGCATTAGTTTGTTGATTGGTCAGTTACACTTTGTAAGTCTGTCACTTACCGAGTATGGCCTTGGGCAAATTATTCAAGGTAAGTCTCTGAATTCCTGCAGGTAAACTGTGGATGATTATACCCACTCGAATAGGGGTGGTATGGGGCTAACATCTTAAAGAATGATAATTCTTCTTCATGTCATGGCACCCAACAATGCACTGCCTCGTAGTATGGGGGACCTCTTTACTCATCTAACTCCTGTATCTTTAACTAGCTTGTACCTGTATCTCTAACTGGCTTGTAAGCTGCTTTGGGGGCAGAGATTAGGGTTTTAAAGTAATAGAAGTGGATCGTGATTTGTTGACTCCATGCAAGATGAGACAAGCATGTAAAAAAGGGAAAAAAAAGACCAAGGGGTCAAAAAATAAAACAGAAATATCCATTAAGAGAGTTTGCAACTTAGTGAAGAATTTGTATGGATGCCTAACCTCAGCGCAAGGTGAACAGTGGTAGGTGCAGCCACAACAGTCCCAGATTGCAAATAAAAGTGTAGGGGACAGTGAGACTTACTGTGGCAGGTGGGACCAGGCTTTGTGCAGGCAGGTAGCGCTACCTGAGGTTTCTGGGCTGCACAGAGAAGGGAACAAGGAGGGGCAAAGCACAGGAAAGCTGGGAATTGGCAGGTGAGTTTGAGGAAACTAAGAACCTTGGTGGATTCAAAACAAGGTATTGTGGGAAGTGAGAAGAGAAAGGTGCCTTGGGCTGTAGCAGACAAAAGCTAAGGTGAGCCCCAATCACTCACACTCTGGCATAATTCCATAATCCCCTCCTCTTGAATTTGGTGGAAATTGTGACTTACCTCTAACCAAAGAATATGGGAGGAGTGATGGGACATCACTATCGTGGTTATGTAACATTATAGTGCAAAGGCAAAGGGGTTTTGCAGATATAATTAAGGTCCCTAATCACTTGACTATGAGAAATGAAAAGGAGATTATCCTGGGTAGGTCTGATCTAAACAAATAATTCTTTTAAGGAGAGTCTAGGCTTTACTTGGAGATTCAAAGCATAAGAGACTCTCTCCTGCTAGCCTTGAAGGAGCAAGGCACATGAATTCTATAACTTCAAGGAAATGAGTTCTGTCCACAACCACATGAGTTTGGAAAAGGACCCCAAACTTCAGGCAAGAGCACAGCCTGGCTGACACTTCGATCACAGCAAGAAAGACCCTGAGCAGAGGGCCCCGGTACACCAGGCCCAGACTGCTGACCCATGGAAGCTGTGAGATAACAAACAGGTGTTGTTTTAAGCCACTAAAATCACGGTAATTTGTCATTCATCAATAGGAAACAAGTACGTGAACTCACAATGTGGAGGGCTGTGAACAGTGGGCTAGAAAGTATTATGTAGCCCATAGGGAACCACTGACTATTTTTGAGCAGAGAGGCACATCCTTTGGGAAGCTAAGAAATGTCACTAGGAAGCGAAGCCTGGGGTCGGGATTGGTCAAAAACCCTTTAAGAACATTTAGTTAGGGCATTGCTCCCAGGAGTGGGAGCTTTACTGACCAGCAAAGGTCTTGTGAGTGACTAAGTTCTGGGATGAACCAAGCCAGCTATCCTTCCGCTAAATTAAGAAAAAAGAGGAGGGGGGTGGGTCAGGGAGAAGAAAGCAAAAACCAAGAAATTGACAGTCACTGGAAAAACTTTAGAACTTTAGTGTTCTTGTTGCTAATTATAAATATTTACTTCTCCCAGAATTCTTGACCTCACAGAAGAGCCTGCGTAGATGTCCTGCCGCCTTACTGGAAAATGTGTGTGTGCGCACGCATGCGCACACTTGTGTCTCATGTTTTCTTGGACTAGGGACAGGGTAGTAATAAGGGACTAGATGATCTGCAGAGAGTAACTTCCTGCTGGATATTGTCTAGTTCCCTTCCTCTCCTTGGCCGGGATCATAAACCCTGAGACCCCCAAACAACTCCCCCTTCTCTGATTCTATCTGCTGGAGACAACTAAGCCAAACAAACTCAGGAAGTGGCAAGAGGTTGGGAAGGGGAGGAAGTTCATGGCACAGAAGGAAAAAGTAAAGAGAATGTCCTGATGTTGAAGGAAGAGGGTGGGGAGAGCAAGAAATGAAGGTCACCCCAAGGTCGTTGGGCACCAGGCCTTTAAAATGTCATTCTTGGGCTTTCAATCAAACCTGGCACAAGGAGTGGGTCTCCTGGGACTCTTCAAATACTAACATTCACAGTGACAAACAGCCGCCCCCTCCCCAAAGTCCTCTGCAAGCAAATTAAAACAAACAACTAATCTAAAGCGGGTTACTAAGAGACCAGTTGGGCAGCAGCCAAAGTCAGTTCAAGTGTCTGGCAAATTCTTTACTTTTTCACTTTCAGGAAAAAGAGAAGGAAAGAAGGGGCTACCTGTAGATGACTCCATGTTGGTGGAGGAACATGAGGGCTGACGTAACCTCTGCAGCATAGAAACGGGAACGAGGCTCGTCGAATTTTCGGGAGCGCTGAATCTGGAACATGAGGTCTCCACCATTTACATACTCCATGACGAAAAAGAGGCGGTCCTGAAAGGTGAGGAGAAAACGTCATGTAGCTAGTTCCACCGCAGCTGCCCACACAGGCCGGCTTCCTGGAAGCCCTACATAACGGAAATAGGGTTAAAGGGAGAAGAAGGCGCAAGGTGGATGAATCCTGGAAGCACACACACAATCCAGAGAGGTGAGTGAATACAGCACACAGGCTACAGTCTGAGGTGCTATTTTAAAATCTCGTTCCCTGTATTACTGTTATGGGCATTCACTCGGTCTAGTGGAAGAAGACCAAAGTTGACATAAAGGAGACCTGAGTTTCTGTCTGATTTCTGTCACAACCTTGCAGTATGGCCTTGGACAGGTCTGGAGGCTCCAGTTACCTTTATGTGTGTGGTAGGTTGAATAATGGACTCTCCAAAAGATGGCCAATTTCCTAATCCCTAAACATCTGAGCATTCCCTTTGATGGCAGAAAAAGGACTTTGCAGGTGACAGACAAAGTACCTTCAGATGGGAAATTACTCTGGATCACCAGGGTGGGCCTTAAATGCAATCACAAATGTCATCCTAAGAGGAAGATTTGAGAAGGGAAGAAAAGGCAATGTGACAAGGAGGCAGACATTGGAGTGATGTGGCCACAAGCCAAGGAATCAAGCCACCACCAGAGGCTGGAAGAGACAAGAAAAGGTTCTCTCCTAGAGCCTGGAGGGAGCATGGCCTAGCTGTCACCTTGTCTTGGCCCAGTGACACTGGTTTCAGAATTTGGTCTCCAGAACTGTGAGAAAATAGATTTCTATTGTTTTAAGCCAACAAGTGTGCGGCAGTTTGTCAGAGCAGGTGTCAAAGCTAAAACAAAGTAGCACAGAACAGAGAGCATCAGAGCCCCTTCCCGGGAGGGCCAATTGTCACTCTGGATGACACCCCTTCTGGGCTCCTGCTTCAGCCTTCAGAAAAGCCAGGCTCCGGTCACAGCTCCTGAGGAAAGGTGCTTGCTTATCCACAGGCCGTGATCCCGGGGAAGAAGACGGACTGAAAAGCAGTTTTGCACAGTTTCTTGACTCCAGTTTTCTAAGTCTGTAGTGGGTAGGGTGCTGTACTAGGCAGGAGGTTAAAAATTATAAGTCATCACTGTCCTTGGGGGGCTTATCATCCAGGGGTGGAGATGGAAAGTGGGCAGAATGATGAAAACAAAAATAGAAGCAAAGTGCCTTAAAGACACTGGGTGCTGAAAGGGTTGGAAGGAGGGAGTACTCTCTGAACCAGGGGACCATGTAGGATTTTGGGTGGGGCGAGGTCTGGAGAGAAGGAGATGGGGCAGATCAGGGGCAGGGGGGCGGGGCAGAGAGGGGGAGGCACAGACATATGCCTGGATGTGGGAATGCTTAGGGACAGGTAGATTGATCGGGTCAGCTGGGGTGGAAGGTGATGTTTGAGAGACCAGAGGAGCAGAGCACCTTCTTAACACACACAGCCAGAGTCCTAAATGAATCTCCCAGGAGAATGTCAGCATAGTGTTTTCAATCAAAATTCACAGAATCACTGCCACTGAGACTGAGTGAAAAATCACAATGACACTTCCTTGTTCATGAAACTGATAGTGTATCTACTTTATTTTTGGCATCTCTTTGAAAAATAAGTCCATCGTTAAGAATTGTTATTAATTCAGACTACCTTCTCCTCCACCACAATCTCTAGAATTTTTTAGGATTTATTGATGTTCACAAAGGGCCCAAGGTCTAGCTTCTCTTCCATTTGCCCTGCCCTCCCCCTTCCAGACGTGTCTTACTTTCTTCCCAGAGGACCATGTTGTACTCAGAAGTACAGGAGCTGCCTTACCGGCCATTCATTCAATCATCCATTCCCCATTCAAATCCTCCTTTCAAAAACCGAATGCTCAGAAGAACCACAGCCCCATGAAACCAGAATTTCTGAGGGGAGGACTCAGGCATCAGTACTTTTCAAAGCCCCCCACATGATTCCAATGAGCAGCCAGGGCTGAGAACCACTGACTCTTCCAACTGGTTTCTGCCAAGGTGTTTTGCATCTGTGAGATACATGGATTATAAGTTATTTGAACTTTCCTTTTTTTTTCCTTTTCTTGTCAAGGAGCCCCAAGAACAAGGATTCTTAAACTTGTGTAGCAGAATCACACAGAGGTTTGTTAGAACATGGGTGGACTGCTGCTTCTATTTCTGATTCAGAAGATCGGGAATGGAGCCTGAGAATCTGCATCATAGTTCCCCGGTGATGTTGATGCTGCTGGTCCAGGGATCCCAATTTTGAGAACTACTTCCCTAAAGCACTCACAGAAAGCCTTTCACATGGCAAGGACAGCTGTGTCATGTGGTTCAACACTGCCCTAAACTAGCCGAACCACACCATCTGAAACAGCCACTGCAACACCACTCCAGGGCCACCACCTTGGCCTTTGGCTTTAGAGACCATGAAGTATTTCCTTGGCTGGGTCCGAATGAATCCAGATCTTTAAAGAATAGCCTGCCCTCCCTGCTCACCCTCCATTGCTGCTTTTCCCCCCTCTAACCCTGGACGCACAGTATTTAAGAACAGTAGCTGTGGAGTAAGGAAGAGCTCCCACCCCGATTTCATCACTTAACTGGCTGGGTGGCCTCGGGCAAATGCATTCGTACCTCTGTGCTCAGTTTTCTCATCTGTAAAAATGAGGAGGATAGTAGGACCTGCCTTAAAGGCTCCTTAGGAGGGTTAAATTATACATTAAAATGACTGACTCATAATTGGTGCTCCATAAAGATTGTTTATACTATTATTTCTGATGGTATTGTAGCCACTGTTATTATCATTATCAAGTCTTCATTTTTCCTGTCCTTTCAGCAGCGTTTCCCCCTGATCACTATCTCTTCCGATGAACACTTGTTTCCCTTGGTTTTCAGGCTGGTTTTTACTCCCAATGTTTCTGACAGGGTTTTTTCTGCTTCCTCTTGAAGGCTTCTCCTCTCCCCAGCCATTAGGTGTTGGAATCCCACAAGGCTGGTTCTAGACCCTCTCCTTTGCTCACTGCTGAGTGATGTCATTCACACCCACCAAGTTCAATGCTCCTTGACTTAGAGGACTCACAAATGTCTACCTCCCTCCTAGATCTCTCCTGCAAGCTGCAGACCCATTTACTCATCTGCATTGCTGCCATCTCCTGCTAGGTGCCCCAAAGGCCCTCAAACACATCATGTTCAAAACTGACTTCATAATCTTCCCCTCAGCAAACTGGTCCTCACCCAGGGTGCCTGTCTCAGGGTCAGGCTTCACCATTCAGCCAATTGTACAAGTCAGAAACCGGAAAGTCATTCTTAATACCTCCCTCTCCCTCATCCCTTACTTATATCACCACACCCTGTTGCATTTACCTATTGTATCTTTGTACTTCCTGTATTGTATGTGTTATATTTGTCTACTGTCCCTCATGGCCACCATTCTGGCTCAAGCAATTATTATCTCTTGTCTAGATTCTTGCAAGTGTCTTTTATTAATGCTCCCTACATTGACTCCAGTCCCCCCAGCAAATGCTGATTACACTAAAAGCCGAGTACCCCGATGAAATGAAAATCTGATTGTAACCCATCCCTCTTCCTCCCTGCATCCTACCAGTAATTCTTTTAAAGGCTTTCTGTTGGGATAAATAGAAAACTTCTTAATATGCCCTATAGCTCATATGGTCTGGCCCTACCTACCTCCTGAGTCGTCTCACTTCCAGCTGTCTCTTGTTCCTTCCGCACCAACAGCAAACTCCCTCCTGCCACAGGGCCTTTGCTCATGCTGTTCCGCATCCTCCAGATTTAAGTCCAGCCATCTTTTCTTTAGGAAGCTGCCCCTGACTTTTCTGACAAGGTCAAATCCCCCTAAGATGTGCTATGCTCTCCACTTTAGCATTCGGAACAGTGACGGTTTTATTTGGTTAATTGATTTACGTATTTCTCCCTCAGTAGTCAGTATACGAAATGAAGGGAGGAACTGTGGAAAATCCTTTTTTTTTTAAAAAAGGGAATTAGCCTAACCCAAAAGAAAAACTGCGATTTCCTTTAAAAACAAGCACTGTCTGGGTAAAAGAATAAATAAGGTTAAGGGTCTATAAGAGAGAAAAGAAACCAAAGGATGTTCTGATATTTGTATTGGCATTCTTACTGTGTAGGGAGTTAGAGATGAGTGAGCTAGCTGCAGCAAGCCTCCCGCCTGCGGAATCTGGTGATGGTGCCCACTCTGACCATTTTGCCCCCCTGGAACCTGCCTGTATCAGCCCCCACTATTCAGTTACAGCTTTCAAGAGCACTTTTTGTTCTGTGGACAGATATCTTCACTTCCCTGTGAGATGCTCAGTTCCTTGAAGAACACATCTTATTCTTCCTCCTTCAGCCAATGGCTCTGAACTCCAAACCTGGGGGCGGGGGGGGGGCACCGAATAACAATCTGTTCATCCAGCACTCCCTCCGTGAGAGCCTTAGGAGGAAGGGATTTTTGCTGGTGTAAACCCTTACTGTATCCCCAGCAGTTAGAACTGGGCCCGGCACACAGTGGGCTCCTAGTATGTCTTTGTCGAAGGCATGAGTGACCAAACACTCGCCACAGATAAGGCTCCAGGCGCTGGAAATTCAACAGTGAACTACTGTTGGTTTCCCCATGTTTTTTTCTCTTGATAACCTCATTTTGAGTTATTCTAACTTGGGCACATTTTGAACATCAGTTTGAACCTGCTTTCTACTCAATACAGCTCAGCGTGCATGGCCCCCAAGCACAATCAACCCTTTCTACGTAGGCATGCTTTAAAGCGAGGCAAGTTTCTCACTTCCCCTCCCTCCATTCAGTGAGTCTGCATTGTTTCTGAACTCCACACCTAACACATCTGAGAAGCATGTTTTGATGCAGAGTAAGAACCTCAAGTCACTCTGGGAACTGCTTAATTACATAAACTGAAATCAAAAGAAAGCTGGCAAACCCAGCGGCTACTCATTAATCCCTTCTTGGCATTGGTAGAAAACAAAACATTAGCTTCCTGGTAAAGTAAGCAAA